TCTAGAAACAAATTACAGCAAATATTCTTTTTAAATCAGCCATATTCACACAAGGCTCCTGTAGTCTAGCTAACACAATATAAGGTGACTGCAGTTGAAGTGGCTTTTTAATTTTGTTTGACGTCAGAGATGAACCACTTTTCATATCTGGTATGTTTCTATGAAGATGTAAAGGTTACTCACTTTCCTTGACTGTTACTGCTACTTGAGTCCTGACAAGTCTGAAAAGTTTCATTTTCTGGTTGTTGTTCAGTACTTCATAATGTTCATGTATTTTAGCCCTAAGATGTATTTGACAGGACTAATGTAAAATGTATTTGCTTTCATTTTTTTCACCATTACCCTAGAAATTAGTTTCTGACACTGAAGCAACTGTCTGAAATTTTAATCTAACATGAAATCAAGAAGTGCATGAGCAATACTTTTGCTTTTTAGTTAACTAATAACTAATGAAATTCAAACTAATGGGTGTATGTATGAAAAGGAAGAATTGCAAGCTTGCAGTCTGATATTATTGTATAAGTGGTTCTGAGACAGCAACAAAAACTTTCCATATTTATTTTTAACCTTCTAAAGTGCTTCTAAAAAGCTTAGATTATAGACTTTCTATAAAAAATTCAATCACTATCACTAACAAAGGTATTCCGAGTAGACTGCAAGCTGTAGCCGCCTTGGCATTCCTAATGCAGAATAGGTAGACAGTGGATGATTTTTCTGATGGCTGTCACTCCACCTCGCAGTACCTAAATGTTTTATTCAGTCTCAATACTGAAGGAATTCAGCTGGAACCAAGTGAGATGGGAAAGTCTGGAGCTGTTTTCATGGTGGGTGGTCTGACTTTTCACTGGCAGAGCACTGACTGCTGATTGGGGCATATAGCCAGTAAACACACAATATATATATATATATATGTATACATAAATATGTTTGTGTTGCTGGATCACTTTATACAGATGGCCCTTTGTCATCTATATAAAATGTTCATAAAGGCTTTTATTATTATTTTGATTTAAGTCAAACACATTTATTCAAATTTCTAAAATCCATTAGTGGCCTCTTTCTGCATACAGTGGCAGGTTTCTTTGTACTGAATTCTCGCTCTGTCACTTGCTGTCACTCTCTGTCCCTTAAAGCCTTTTTTCTTTTTTTCTCAACTCACATTGTCATACTTGTCACTTTTAATGCTAAAGAAACATCTAATATCTCCAACTTGGCTTTCAGGATCCTATTTACTCTCTACAGTGACTTGTTTTTCTGAGAGCTAATTAAACATTGTTTAGCTTTGTAAATCTGCTTTTTTCCACATTCTGTCATCTATACAGGCTACAAGAAGGAATATAACAACATATATCACCAAACCTAATAATTTTCCTTATATCCCCTTAAAATGTTACAGGTTACTAAACAGAAACCATTCGTTAAATACGTCACAACAAGCAAACTAATTTAACCTCTATAGCCTGTTTTATAAGCTTTATTAAATTTCCAACTAGTGTTTAGGGTCCATACAATTTCAGGACATTATCCAATGACTGTCCTGGATAAGCAGTTAGGAGAATACCCCACAAAACTTTTCTAATATTCTCTCTACACCTGTATCTTTCCTTCATCTCATTCCATCCTGCTTTCTTTTTGACCTCACTATGATTTTCTTGACCTCCAGCTATGTTTCCAAAATGGTGATGATGTTTAATACTGAAGAGCCTCTGTCTCCCTTTCTCTCTTCATTTCTTGGTTCTACTCCTTTGTTCCTCCTCCTTTACAGAACTGGTGGTGGACGTTCTGGAACTTTCTGTGCCATCTGCAGCATCAATGAGATGATCCAGCAGCAGAATATTGTAGATGTTTTCCACACTGTTAAAACCCTGAGGAACAACAAGACTAACATGGTGGAGACTATGGTAAGAAATCACAATACATACGTTTTTGTCTCTGTGGTAGCAAACATGCAAGTATTCCCACACTACCAAAAATTTGTATTCACATACAGACAGGTCACAGCTGTTTCAGTGCTTTTCTCATCTCCTTTGTAAAGAATTTCTCAATTTGTTACTCACACCCATGAACTAAAGCACACCTGCTCACAGATGCAAGGTAAATGGATTATAACAGGCAATGTTCAGTATTTGCCAAAGCTTTAGTCCTTTAGTGGTATAAGTGAAGATTTAATTGTGATTGGCTATGTTTTTTGGGGTTTTATTTGTTTTTTTTTTTGTCACCATAAAGCAAAGATGTGGGTAAAAAGTGCTGGTGACCCTAAACTTTTTAAAAAACTGGCTTTAAATTCCTAAAGGAGAAAAAGGTAAAACTGAGATGTCTTTGAGGTGATACCTCATGGTGTCATGGTGTTCTGGAGTGGCATAATATTCAGAGATATGTCAGAGAGTTGCCTATGGCACCCATATGATCTAGCTCCTCCAATCATGTGATTACCCAAAACATATTTAATGTATGAGAAGAATGAACGAGTCGGACAACTTGAGCAGGAAGAAAAAAGTTGTACAGAAGTCTTATTTAGAGCTATGAAATTTGCAATGTTTTTATGATTTCTTTCTTTTTTATTGCCCAATTACCCCATCGATTCCCTTGGATTACTGTTTAAGAATAGCATTTATGTAAATAGTACCAAAAATGTTCAAATGTTTTTAGTTTGTTATCAGCAGCTACTTAATCTTGGTAGTAAGCAGAACAGCTTCGCACAAAGTGTTTTACCATTCAGTGAAATTAACAACAAATAATGTAAAGAATTCAAATAAGTATGGATTTATTTGACTCTTTGTTTCTTGTCAGTCAAAGATTAAAAGTGTTTCATTGTTCTTAATTCTTTGCCAAACATCCCAAACCATGAAACCATCTGGACATTTGAAAGTTGTCATCGCACGTCATCAGAGCTAGAGAATGATGACAGAATTGTTCATAAAGATGTGGCATTGGATTAGTTCACCCACATACTGCAGGCCAGCCAATCCAATCCTTTGCTGTCTGGCTGAGGCCAATATTATCTGCTATGCTGATAATGTTATGATTCTCAGTTCATGAATTATGACTCATTTTCATTAGTAAATATATGGAAATTGTGTTACTGTGTTCTATACTCGTCATCGTCGGTTGCATATTATGTTGTGAATTATATGTCACGAAATTTCATTTTTTGGTTTTTATTACAGTGCTCCAGTACTTTTTTTTTTTTATAAATAAGTCAATATTTAGTAAATAGTTATGAGCGTAGAGTTTGGTTTTATTATACATGTTTGAAGTTTAAAGCCAAGCTGGGAGTGCAGCTATACATATATATTGAGAGTTTGAGGGAAACAAAGCCAAATTTCAAGAATTTTCTGAATTAGCTTTGCTTGTTGTTTTATTTCTACACAGGAACAGTATAAATTCTGCTATGAAGTGGCTCTGGAAGCGCTCAACTCCTTCTGATTGGGTGTGGGCTAAACATCTCTATTCCCAATCGGCCATTTGTCGATGCCTGCCATTCTCAACGCAACACTGGGAAACACGGAGGGCAATACTGCTTTGTGTTGACCTGAATCCGACTGACTGAGCGTGCCTGTGTGTGTGGGTGTGTGCGCGCACGTGTGTGTGCTTGTATTTGAGTGCATATGCACGTGGCTGTGTGTGAGGGCATGCTTGCATATTTGAGGAAGTCTTTATCTATATGCGTGCCTGCAACAACACACACAACAAACCTGTACAGAAGAGGGAAAAGGCAACAAACATGCACACTGGTGATTTTAATGTCTGTTTGCTTCAGCAAGACTGGGGACTTTATATGCTTGTACAAAGAAAAAAAAATATGGTAAACAAAAAACAAATGTTTAAAAGACGCACCACTTTTACTCCTCTATTTCTCTGTCCTCTCTGCTGGGCTGTGATGTGACTATTGTACAGTATTTCCTTTTTAGATATATTCTACGCCTTGAATGTTGTCTCCCTCTGAAGGCTGGATGCCCACTGGAAGATTTTTTTTGGTAACTCTCAAAGGGAACGGAAATGTACGTTTCTTTTGACCATGACTCACTCAGCTTAGTTAACGCTTTTTTTTTTCCTTCAAATTACATGCTGATTCCCTTTTGCCAAGTTAAAAGTTCGTTTGAATTATACTCGTAATTCTGTAATTGGCCTGAAAAGAAAATATGTTAGCATGGTTGTATCTTTTTTATAGTTTTATTTTCACGGAGTTCAAATGTCAGAAAAACACAAGAACAAAAAAAAATATATAACCTACAATAAGTGGAGTCAGGGACACTGTGAAAAAAAATAACAGTAGAAAAAAAGGGAAAAAGGGAACCTGCCTTAGATTTAAGGCCAAGTCATGTCTCTGTTCTAGCTTTTTTTCACTGGGACAGTGGTGGTTTCATAAATGCTTTTGGAAGGCTTAAAAAAGACAAAATTAAAATCTTATTGTGTGCATCCCCCCTTGCTGTAAATAGGATAAGACAACCACAATCAAACAAACAAACAAACAGGCAAACATCAGCAACTGGTACGTTACAAATTAATGTGATTTCAAAACACTATAACTCTAAAAAGTTAATGTCACTGTGTTACCATACCACAGACCGTCTCCACAGAAATGTCAAAAAAGCCGACATATTGTTCGCATATTGCACATTTAGCTAATGCCGCCGCATTCAGAATAACTTTTATAAAATTTGTCTTTTTTATTATTTATTTATTGTGACACTTTTGGTACAGAATATGAAACAACCAGATAATACTTTGTCTCTAATATGATAACAGCACTACTATAATTGATTGAAAATGAGTCCCCAAATTCCCCATAAAGAAGTCAAAAATGTCCCCCCTCTAAAAACTACATAAACTATAACTTGCACTTTTGCATGTTTGTCCATTTTGGAACATTTAGACTTGGAATTCCTGACATTGAACAGCCTGGGGTAAATTCAAAACTGAAATCAGTGTTTGGTCATTTTATAGCAATTTGCTTTAATGTGAAATTGTTCAATAACTGAGTGTAGCTTACAGACGAATGAATCTACTTTAGTGTTGATGACTTGATTTTAACCTGGTCTACAGTGTTGCGAGTAGTCATTGATATTGGGCCACTATTTGGGTCTAAAAAAATAATCATTCAAATGATAAGAAATGAGTTAAACCTGCTGAGATTAAGAAAGGATTTAAGAATCCTTGATACTTAGAGCAGACTGGTAAAGAGTTCAGTAATTCTATGTATAATTCTACCTATAATAAATATCCAAGCTAAGGGATTGGGCCCATGTTTCCCCTATAACCTATGATTTAAAAAGAACATCACAAAACAAAGAGACAGGCCACATTTACATTTCTTTTATAATTAACGAATGCTTTACGTCAAGCCTGCTGAAATATACAGATATTAAAAATACATTTGAGAAAATCACTAACAGGAAATGATTTCAGTTAGTGTTTGACCCCAGGTTGAAAGGCAGTTAACATGGCTAATAGTTTAGATGCCTCTGCACCTTAACGTGTGGGAGTGTGGGAATTAATGAGAATTATGCATGGCATTGACCTCAGCTTCTCATTATCTCCTACTCATCTGGTCAGACTCTTCTATGCTATCCCATTTTCCCCTTATCCCAAAAGACTAAACCAGAATCTCATGTTATAGATACACCACCTGTATTTATATGAACAGCCTCTGAAATGTGTTGAATCTAAAGGTGATACTATTTTCAGATCTGTTTTACCTCTCTCTAAAACACTGTCATTCTAATAAAAAGGACCAGACTGATGGCTTAATTTTCAAACACTCAAAAAATCAGACTACTGAAGTGAATTATCTTAAATCCCAATGCATTAAAAATACATAATTGTCACCAATTACCTGATTTACTTTTTTTCCCATGCGAGAAAGTACGAACATTTTTAGATGCATTAGATTTTTTAGAATGATTTCATATAAAGTTCAGCTTCTGATGAACTTTTCTTTTGTTAGGAAACATTTCAGTGCTTATGGCAAGAGCTGACATACTTGTAGTTAAATGTTGTAGCAAACTATTCAATCTGTGCTTGCGTTGATTTATTTTTATTCTTATTTTTCGCTGGAGTCCAGTCAGGCTCGTTAATGGACCTATCAAAATAGTGAGAGTGCTGTATTGAAGACAATGTGAATGCTGGATATCTTGATCCTTTTGTCCACTGATGCTTTATTTTATTGACTTGAATCATGGCCCTTCATATGTATTATATATTTTTTAACGTTCTTTTAGATTATTTTTGTCTTGAATTTGTACATTTCTTTTGTATAATTATTATTCTGATGATTATTTGTCTAGCAAAGTGCTGTTTAGATCTGGTGATGCCATTACCATTGGTTGTTTAGTTGTTTGAAATGTGGTTAACATGAAATAAAGGGACCAAAATGTTGAATGTGATGTCGTCTCTGTCTTCACAGCCTCTAATTTTGATGTATGAAATAATTACGCTAAAGCTTTCAGAGACATTCTTAATGTTTGAGGGACTTCACTTCACTAGATCATTTTCTCTCTCTTCCTAGGTGATCAGTCAATTTGGCAAGTAGGAACTAACCGTTTTTAACTGTCAAAAGAATTAAGGATATTAAACCTACCAATTTTTAAATTTCCACCTTTAAAGTCCATATTGTGATGCTTATTTCTGATAAATTATAAAACACAGCCAATATCCACAAACAGGGACTAGATGCATAAAACCTTGTGCATAATCAAAAGCAGACTTTGAGGTTAGAAATTTGTTTAAATCTCTGTTTGGCATAAAAACAAAAACCTGCCTATGCCTATGAGTGATTGACAAAACAGAAAGAAAGAGCAAAAAACAGGAAATAAAATATATGAGTAAATGTAAAAGTCACCCTATAACATCTATAAAGGATCTGACCTTGAGGTCTCCACTGTTTCATCTCATACATGCCACAAGCTCTCACTGTGACCCCAGAACTGAGGCTGATGGAAAAGTAAGAAAAACCACAGGTCTTTACTGGCTGTTTTTCCCCCTCTCTTTCTAATCAATCAGATTCAGTGATGAACGGAGCTCCAAGCCAACAGCCTCATCCTTTATTTAGCTAGTTGATTCCCAAGGAGCTCATAAATATGCATGAGCTTGAGATTAGCATAGGCACCAAGGACAGGGCCTGTACCTTGGCATTATGACGATCAATCAGAAACACTAAGGGGCTCCTCAGAGGGAAGCTGTCTGTCAGCTTGGCTTTGGGCTGAGGTGATGTATGCACACACACATAAAAAAGGTACGCTCAAAGCATACATAACGCACACATAAGTCTGCATGCATCTACACACACCCAGGAAGAGAAACACAAACAGAAACAAACACAAAGCATATGCACACCTAAAGGGAGAAGCAAAGCACAAAATGCACAAACAGTCTCTCACAAACACACAAACATGGATACATAATCAGTGTTAATGTCTATTATTAATCTGATGTTCCTTACACCCTTAGTCTCTCTTCTGATTCATATTTTTTAAACTCCTTTTCAGAACAGACTTCATAATGAGGTTGAAAATTGGCCCATTTCATTTGCTCTCACAGAAATGTCATTATCTGGGGGAAGGAGGAGGGGTGTTGTTGGCACTGTATGTTGGTACAGTAATATACTGTTCTTCCATTCTGTCTGTGTGTGTGTGTGTGTGTGTGTGTGTGTGTGTGTGTGTGTG